ACAATACCACAATGGCATCAGTCAACCAAACGATAGCCACAGTCAACGAAATCATTCACACAAAAATCATAATACAATATCCACGAGAGCAACAGTTAACCAAAAAATAACCAAAAATCTGAGTACAATGAAAAATACTACAACATCCATCCATACCATAATGGCATCAGTACATTCAACCAATAAAATGACATATTCTACTTGGCATAAGCAGTATTGTTAATTAACAAAATCAGGAAAACAACTTTTCATTTTCTTGGTCTCTTGGACCCACAATGTCGCAACCTTGACATCTTTGAAGTTGCAGCAGGTTGCTTTCTCTTTGAGAATCTGCTTTGCTGGCTTTCTTGGTTGGTACCACCTATAGGCTGATTTGGCTCCTACATGTACCTCGTCATGGTTAGTATATATGTAAGTATATTCCAGCATCCAAAAATGTTTGGCCAGTACTCTCTAGTATCTGTGAAAGTGTAGTAGCAGTACTTGAGACGCTTGCCTGAGCAGCAGAAGCTACGGATGTTGCATTTGAAGTTTTTTGACCAACTTTAGGTGCCTACAGTCCAAATCAAAATGAATTAGTATATAAGTAGCAACAAAACACACTAAACCATATTACAGTAGAGTGTAAAATGTTACATTACTTTGTAAATTTTAGACTTAGGGTCAATCGCTGATTTGCAAGTACGTATGTTATGTCTAGTTTTCAAACATCTCCGACAGTAAACTGCAAGTCCTTTCCTACTTGCTTTCTGCTGATTTGTAGGCTCTTCTGGACCCTTTTTTATCTTTTTTTTTGGCCTACCAGGCTGTTTTTTCACCAATGATGGGTTCAGATATTGCATCTTGCTATCTACCCAGAACTGCTTCGAAGGAACGGGACCAATTGTGAAGTTGTAGGCCCTTAAATATGCTTCCCTATGGTAACAAGCATCAACATATTCCTCGAATTTCAGCTTTCTGCTCTGAATGCAGGCAACCGCATGCACGCAAGGAATGCCACTCAGCTGAAAATGACCACAGGTACAAGTTTTCAACTCCAAATTGACAACATTTGTCCTTCCATAGCCATCAACTTCCAAATTTCCATTTCCTCCGTAAACCGCAACACAATTTCTTGCCTTTATCTTAAGTTTCTCCAACTTCTCATAAATGTTTGGACATAAAGTTCCACCATATTTCAGCATGCCTCTCGTTTGGCTACCAACCTTTGCATTAATCTCCTCCGAATCCACTCCAACATTGTTATTATTGGCTCCTCTTTAGCTTTTAGAATGTAATTATTCCATGACTCACTCATGTTGTTAACGCAAGTGTCACTCCTACAAGCTGTACTAAAATGAGTTTTAGACCATAATTTTGGAGGCAACCGTTTGAACCATCCCGCAGCTGTTAGCTTGTCACCTTCCTGTGGGTCAGCCCTCTCAAGATTTGAAAGGGCAGTTTCATACTCCGGCATGCTTGCTGCTGCAGCTACCTCCCAAAACAGATCTCTAAGGTCTTGATCCTTGAATCTTTGTTTGAAGTTCTCGAACATATGTTTCAAATAGAATTTGTGCTCTGATTTAGGAAATAATTCTTCAATTGCATGGACAAGACCCTTTTGCCTATCTGAGATGAAAGTGTAAGCCACTCCTTTGTCTCTTCTTCCAATTTGGCTGATTAATTCCCGCAAAAACCAACTCCAACTGTCGTAATTCTCAACCTCAACAACAGCAAAGGAAATAGGGAACATATTTTCATTGGCATCCCTACCCAAGGCTGTAAGCAGCTGACCTCCAAAGGGACTTTTGAGGAAGCAATCATCTAGACCTATGATAGGTCTACATCCTTGTAGGAAACCATTTTTCAACGCACCTAAACCATAGTATATCCTCTGAAATGTAGCCCTTTCCTCAATATTTCGCCTATCAATTTGCAATGAAATATGACTATCAGGATTGGAATTTTTACAGTAGCTACATAATCCCAAAGTCTATGGTATTGCTCCATGTCATTGCCCCTGAGTGCCTCTAATGCTTTTTGCTTTGTCCTGACAGCTTTTTTTTGACTAATGTCTAGCATGAACAATTTTCTTGTCTCATTCACCATGCCAGGAATACTATACCCAGGATCATTTCTCACTTTGGCTTGAAATTTATGACTCAGATATGTTGAGGTGGCATGTCGATTGCTGTAATCCCTGCCACAATGGTGATCTCCCTTAAGAGTCTTGATCATAAATGTCTTTGATCTCTGGATTCTGCTTGCATGAATCCTCTAACTACACCCCTTTGCACATTTAGCTGTGATTCGAGACCCCTCATTTCTGATGTACTTGTGCTCATATCCCTCCCTAATACCCCATTCCACTAAAACCTCTCTAAACTTATGAAAGCTGCTAAATTTCTGGCCAACCTTTAGTTCAAAGTGCTCTTTTTTAAACTCTTCATCCGCATTGAAGTAGCTGTAGACAGGGGTGCTTTCATCATCAGAACCTATTCCTCTGTCAAACAGGTTTTCATCATCATCTACTGCCTCATTCCAATCCTGTTCCTGCTGATTTTGTTGCTGTTGTTGATGGTCATCTAAATCAGCTTCTGGGTTTTCGGTTGGTTGCTGATTTTCATGTTGTTTTTGGTGCTGTTCATCTAAATCAGCTTTGTTTGATGCTTTTGCTTGCTAATTTTCTTGTTGCTGCTCAGAAGGAATACCAACCGAATTTGCAGATCCAATATTTATAGACGCCTGTGTTGATCCTTGACCATGTAAACCTGCAAATATATCATCATCTTCAGGCAGTTCTATTGCTTCTCTTAGCCAGTCAGGAAAATCTGAGTAATCCAGTATGATTTCATCTTCTTCTACGCCTTCATGAATTGGTCTTTCTCCATAACAATCAGTCTGCTCTAATGTTGGATTTCTCTCTGTCTGTTTGTTTCTTCCGCTGATTTCCTTGTATGAGACTACTGAAACTCTGAGGATGTATCACCTTCTTCTTTGTCTTTAAATAACCGCCTGACTGATTTTCTTGCGCTTAACTTTACTCTTTGTGACTTGACTTTTTTTTATCATTTCTTGCCTTCTTTCTCTTGGACTTGTCACCAGCATCATGTATTTTCTCTTTATGTGGTCCCATAACAGCTGGATCTGATTCCATTTGTGATGACTTTTCTTCGCAGACGTCCTTTGCTTTGTTGTTAATGTTTAGAATGTCATTATTGTCCTCACTCCCAATTACTTCCTTGACCATGTCATCCTTGCCTTTAACAGTTGAGGATGAACTAATCTCAGCCTGCCAGGCATCATGATATGGAAGTGCAAGTATGCCATCACCAGTCACTCTCTTGTACAGTAATTTTCCTTCCGGGGACACAACTTCAATGGGATCAGACCCCCTCTCAGCATATATGTGCATTTCTTTAAGCCCCTCATAACATGTTGTCAATAATTCGATGTTCACATCATCATTGATGCTAACCACACCAACATCAAGGTCATGAAAGGGAATAGAGTATCAGAAATTCATATTTGTAACGCCGTGCTCAATGGTTTGGTACATTTTTTGAAACTGAAATACGGATAATTCATCAGGGTCGAGATCACAAAATACCCTCACATGTTGGCCAGTGTATCTAATTCTCGGTTTCCATTTGAAATATCCACCATAATGCAAGTGTATGTCTACGGTCTGCCATGAATTATCTCCCATTTTTATGCACCTAACGCAAAGTAACTGAGATTATTTTACTAATTTCGTTTTCAAGTGTATCAAAAAACAGAGATTCATTTACTCATTTGCTTTTCAGATGTATCAAAAAGGACATGCAATATTTCATACACTCAATTTCAAAAACATAAAAAATGAACAACACACTTATCTAGAAGGATGAAAAACATAATCAAGACCATAATCAAGACCAGTATGGACCAATGAAAATTCGATTATTCCCCAAAAACTCATATTTTTTTGCAGTATATTGCAATTTTTTAAATAATTGCACCCAAACATTGTCAGAAAAGCTTCTGACTAAGCCAAATCTTGACATTTTGCGTATTGTTATAAAAAAGCAAAAAAAATTCCCACAAACATTGTCGGAAGACTGTCGGAAAAGCTTCTGACCAAGCTGAAACTGACATTTTGCAATATTTACCAAATTTTAAAAATAAATTCCCACAAACATTGTCGGAGACACTTCTAACTAAGCCAAACATGGTGGTTCCTTTACCAAGTTTCAAAATATCCCCAACAATTTAGTACCAAAACACCTGCCATCAAACAAATCAACTCGTCTAATGCATAAGGTTCATATATGTATTTTACCTGGTTCAGATATGCTCAATGCGTTGCGACTCTCGACCGATCTACACATAAACGCTGATCCATCTGCACTGAAGCACCGACCGATGTTCTTGGCTGTAGGTTTCCCGATCCGCAGTACACAAACACCTTCTTTTTGGAATTAGGTTTAGGGTTTCTCTCTCTGAACATGAAATGTATCTCAAACCCGACAGATCTTCACCATAACTCGCACCGCTCAACAATACAGTTACCTTTTTCTTCGTTATAGGTTTAGGGTTTCTCTCTCAGTTTCTTTCATCCGCTCCAGATTGACTCATTGCATCTGTAACTTTTCACATAATATATATGAGGGTATTTTGGTATTTCATATTATTACCGGCTCCCCAGCCGGTTAGCAGGTAAAATCCAAACAAGGCCAAAACACGGGGTTAAGTGGGAATTTCTAAATAATGAGGAGGTTTCGTGTCAATTTCCTTAATCACAGGGGGGTTTTATGTACTTTACCCAAAGATCAATGAAAGTACTCTAATGTTCTGACAAAAAAAAAAGAGAGTATCCCATTGGATACATCTTATTAAATGTATGACTAATTGATAATATTTTTAAGAATCAGACCTGCAAATTGAGATTCTATTATGAGTCCAAGGACCAATTCAACAATATCGAAACTTTAAATCTTAACTATAAATATGAAATTGACCTTTGTTTATTTTTTGGGTCAAAGCAAACAAGACCGTAAAGTAACTCTTAGCTCAGCAATGGCGATTTCCAGATTAAGCTTTTTACTTCATCAGCAGCTCCAAAAATATACTTCTTCTCTTCGTCACTTGTCTTATTCCAACCGCTCATTTTGTTCAGCATCCAATCTTCGCTCTCACTTTCAAGTAAGCTCCGCTCCTGAATTCCTGAAAAAAAATTTGTATATGATCAGTAATGCTATGTTTCAACTGTTGCTAAAACTTTAGAAAAGGTTGAATCACAAGTTTCTTGCTTCGTTTAAAAATCAGAGGGCAATTAAACTCATGTTTTATTGTTTGATGGCTATGCTCTAGTGTGTTTCTGCCGGAAGTTTAATGGGATGGATTTTTTTGTTTAATCAATGGAAATTAATTACGCATGTAAGAATTATTGTGGATTCTTTTATTCAGAATGCTTCAAGTTCTTGGACTCATGGGATTAAAAATTCATGTTTGATTTGCTAACATCTTTGAAAATTGAGCTTGCAAGAGATTCAGTAATTTTTGCCTGGATCAAATTTTGTTGAAGAAAGAGTGTAGTTTGGTTCCTTAATCTGGTGTAAATTTTTTTGGCATACATTTACAACTCCGGAATCATCAATCTTTAGATAGAGCTGTAGAGTAAATTGTTCTCTTTTTCTAGTATCTTCCTCAGTAACCTTATGTCTTATTTCTGTTTTCATTTTTGTTTACCATTTCTTGAGTGGTTGAACGGCAATTAAATTTGACAAACATGATACTGATTCGAGAAGTATCTTTTTAAGGGCATTATGTGCTAAATTTTTTTGATTTGTCTTTGTTGATCTTTTATTTTGTTGTTGCAGAGAATTGGATTTATTGGTTTAGGAAATATGGGATCCCGAATGGCTAATAATTTGATTGAGGATGGATACAATCTCACCGTTCATGATGTGTAACGTACTTTGCTCTGTTCATTTGACTGTTTATCTGCATCTTGACTTGTTTTCAGTTTGTAGTGAGAGTTCAACTTCTTGTTCCTTATTGCAATTGCCTGTTCTGCTGCATCCAGCTGTTGTTGTCTGGTCTTGCCATCCTCCTTTCCTGTTGTTGTTCTAATCAAAAGATGCTTATGATTTAATTTATTTTCCAAACGCAATGGAGATTTAGTGCATATATAATCATGCTTTTACGTGTTGAGTGTACTCCTTTATTTTGAATAACAAGACCACATTTTTGTTAAGCATGTGTTCATCCTTTATTTTTCAATTTTTTTTCTTTTCCAAAATTTTTCTCCAGAGACCACAATGCCATGAAGATTTTCTCAGAGAGGGGGATTCTTACAAAAGAGTCACCTTTTGAAGTTGCGGATAGTAGTGACGTCTTGATCACAATGTTGCCTTCTTCAAACCATGTGAGTATGAAGCTATATTTTGCTTTATTCTCAGAATTTTCTAGGCATTAGGGATGTAGGGAATATTAGGAACAAATTATTCAAACCCAAAGACTCAAACTAGAAGCACTAAAATCAATTTCTATCTCAACTAAGGAGAGTATTTTGTATCACATAACTGATACATGCCATTCAAATGACTTCATTCTGGCACAAACCAACAATTAATCAAGTAAAGGCCAGAAAGCAAAAGACTCTTTGAACTCTATCTCGTCAAAAACTCGGATAGGGAAGCCCTTCCAAAATGAATGGACGTAAAACTAATTGGAAAAATCTCTTGAAAAATTTGATAAGATGTTTCCTGATGAAGAAGCAGACTTACAGCTTAAAGCAATGAAAGCATGGACACTTCAAAATGAATCTCAAAATCAGCTTCAAATCGTAGGCGTCCAAAAATTGTTGTCCTCACTAGAAGTGCCAACATAGGATAAGTACTGAGGATCATGTTGACTTGCAGAAGAAGAGAAAAACGTATACCAGTGAATTTCAAAGAAGCGAAAGCTAAAGCATAAAGGTGAACAAAAAAAATCCTCTGCTCTGAAGAAGTGGATTCCATTAATTATGATGACAGGCATTTCAGAATTTCAAATTGTTAAAAGTAGGATTTGGATGTCTGTATGCTGCAATTGTAACAGAAAAACATTATATTTGGTAGCCTATGGAAACAATGTTGACAGGTGGTTTCTCATATTTTTATCACTTCAATTCTTTATGGCGTTTGTAAGGTGTTATGTGGCAATAAGAGCTAAAGCTACTAGTTTCTTTAAGATCTAGTATGCATGTATCATAAATGCTAACCAATTCTTCAAGTAAACTAACTAAGACAGATGCACCATAAGCTCTTTCAATTGTTTAAGATCTTGGCATAAGCTGGTTGTGATGCCTGGTTTGTGCTGCTGTCATTTACTTATGTCTGATACTCCCCACCTTCCCATTAGTTATCAGACGAATGAAAACCTTGGTGCAAGACCCCCTGGCAGTCCTGCTATGACTGTCAACAAGAGTGTAAAATACCTCTTGTGTGCCAAGGAAACCCTTTTCAGTCAGCAAGACTGTATGAGGTATGTAATTGTCCCTCTTAGAAGAATTTAACTGGTTGTTTACAGTGTTGGTGTGACCAACTATTGGTTCTGGGTTTTGCCACTTATTTCTTCCCATTAGTTGAACTGCTTCAGGGCAGTTTCAGCATGTGTTTTGGGTAACATTTTCTATTTTCTAATAATTCAATAATTCTACCAGACTGATTCCACACAATGTGCCTCATGTTTGCCAGGCTCTGTAATCTCAACATTAAATTTCTACTCCTGAAAGGTTATTTTGCTTTGCACTATCTTATGTTCTATTATACTGTTCTTATTGTGTAGGTATTGGATGTTTACACTGGACGAAATGGTTTGCTCAGCCATGGTAATACTCTTGGACCGTGGTTGTTCATAGATTCATCAACAATTGACCCTCAAACATCAAGAAAGCTCTCTGCCACCATAGCTGATTGTTCTCTGAAAAGGAAAAGAGGTACACCTTACAAAGTTCTGTATGCTTTCATACCATTACCTAAACCCTGGGTCAACAGATATTTAAACAGTATTAACCTTTAATTATTATCTACCTCCACGGTGTAATCTTTATCTGTGATTGTCCAAGCTCTGAGTGATTTATGTAAACAAGTTTTCCTGGGAATGACAGAAGAGACCCAACTAAGAGGATGACGAATCATTGGGGAAATGCATTAAAGCTTCACAAAGTAAAGAGCTTTACATGTTTCCTAAGTATGCCTGCTTCATGAGGCTTATGATCAACCTTTGAGAAAGAAAGAGGAAAGTTAAAAAATTTCAGTTTGAAAGAAAACTTACGCCTGAGTAGTCTGCCTTCTTTCTTCTAGTTGATGTCATGCACTTAATCTTCGCAAGCTAACTCATTGTGTGCTGTCTTTATTTAGTTCCATACATGTTTGAACAAATCAGATATCCTGCATGACCTGTCAATGAAATCAGTTCTGGAACATTCTTTCCTATGGTATTATTCAGTTTCATCCTTATGATGATTAGCCAACAAAAATCGAAATGTAATTCTTTTTTTTTTTTAGTTTTGGGAGGGCAGGTGGGGAGGGGGGGGGGGAATATCTTTTAGGGAACACTTGTTGTTTTTTCAACTAATAAATGGATCTACCATAACATTTGTTCACTTGAATATCCACGAAGAAATTTTATTAGTGCTGTGTATATGCACATTTCACACACCAGTATGTGGTTTTATTGTCTACAGGCATTCGTGTGTTCTGTTCTCTTCCTATAAAAATGCATTTACATGTTTTTGCATAAAAACAACACCTAGGTGCGCAAGATAATTGTCATTTTCTGTAATTGATTAAACTTGCTACATCTTACACAGATGGTTTTGAGGTTCCGGCCATGTTGGATGCTCCTGTATCCGGAGGTGTTCTTGCTGCTCAAGCTGGAACACTTACTTTCATGGTAGTTTTCTGTATTCTTATAAGCATTTAAAACTTTCATAGAGCAATGGTCTGGTACACACGCTTGTGGGGAAGCAAGTCTAGTTTCTTTGAAGGGGTTATGCCCTGAGTAAACTTGTTATCAATTAAAAATAGCTATCTTTGTTCCAAAGCACTTTCTGAACCATAAAAACAAATCTGTAATCACAAGCTTTTCTACATGGGACTATGCTTGATTTTTTCCTTAATTATAGGTGCAATGGTGTAAACAGACGCTTAAAGCAATTAACCTCTTTTTAAGATACACTTTCAATTTACTTATTCGTTTCAGGATTGTCTAAGTGCTTATAGTTTGGGATGTTCATAGGCTGTGAGCAAACAGCAACGTGTTACTTTTATCTTGGACACATACCAGTATGTCCATTAAACTATTCCGTTTGCTTGCCATCAAGTCGGGCAAATTGTTTGAAGGAGAAGATAAGTGCCTGCATGGACACAACAGATAGTGTTGCTGAGTTGGCATTACCTGCTGACCTACAGAAAATATGAATTGGGGATTGACAACCTGGGAACATGCTCAATGTTTACCCCATCAGTTAAAATTTACCGGGACCATTTTTATATAACTGAGTATCTGTCATTTGTTTTGCTTCTCTACTTATACCTGTTGGATAGTTTGAATTGACAATTCAGACCTATCCTAATGCACCCAGATTTCTGTAAATGTAAAACTAAATAGTGCAAAACATCAGCTCTTAGTTAAGTCCCTGGTGACTCAGCTCTATGGTTTGATAAATCATTTCAATATTGGCAGTGTAGAAGTGTGAACTTGACTTCCTATTTTCTGGAATTCAACCTCATGGCTTTCTGGTGGCTTTTTGGTGAAATACTTTTTGCTTTTAAGCTGGATGTCATTGTCTGACTTTTACATGAGTTAATTTTGAAACTGAAACATCTAATAATTTAAATATGGAAGTCAATAACATGGGGAGACCACTTTTTAGTTTATTTAATTTTGAAGATATGTTATAACATGTGGAAGGGTTTGCTTTTGCTGGTGTGCAGGGTATTGAAAGAGAATTATCTTAGGATCAAAAGTTTCATTTAAGGAAAGCAGCCCAGAAAGGAAAATATGACATTCACTTTTGGAACAGAGGGAGAGTTTAAACTCATATGACTCAAATTGAAGATGTCATTGAATGTTGTGCTTATCAATCTATTTTTCTGTTCTGTCAGTTTGTATATTTGTATGCAGAATAATATTTCCTCGTTACATGGATAGGTGTCAATTTTTTCTTGTTTTTGAGTGACTAATTTTCAAAATTTTTGTGGCTTTATAGACTGACTCATATGAGTTCTTGTACTAATCAACATCTTATGATGTGTCGTTCAGGTGGGTGGCTTGGAGGAAGCTTATGTGGCTGCAAAACCCTTATTTCTCTCAATGGGGAAAAGCACAATATATTGTGGTGGAGCAGGAAATGGTTCAGTACGTGTTAGCATTTCCTAAGATACTGCAATCAAACACTCCGAATCCAAAAGCTTTGTGTTGATAGCTTAAATTCTGACTTTGTTAAGCTTCCATTGTATGCTCCAGATGCCTCTTGCACTGATAACTTTGCGTTCATTATTATTATGCAAAAAGATGAAGAGGATATATGACATTGGAAAACTGAAAAAAATTAACTTGATGCAAATTGCTTTTGATTGGTCTTCAGCTTTGTATGTTCATTTCATAAGGCCATACTAACATCCCATCCCCATGGATCCCCTGGCCAGGTTATCTGTAGGTGGTTTTGAATCATAGTTTATGGAACATATTAGGATTTTTGCCTAAGAGGATGATTTGTGGCACCCGCTGGTTCAATTCATAAATGAGCAGATATGTCTGTTTTTGGAGAAAGAAGACTAATTGAGTCTTTAAAGGTTGAAGTATATTAGTGTCAAATTGTGAAAGTCCACATCATTTGTGGACTTGGTTCATTTAGTCTTTAAAGGTTGAAGTATATTAGTGTCAAAATGTGCAAGTCCACATCATTTGTGGACTTGGTTCATTCTGACTCAATTCCATTCTATTCAAGTGAGGTTACTGCCCGTTGCATGTGAACATGCATAAAGACTACGGAAAGTTTCTTGAGTAGTGGACCAAAATCATCTGAGAAAGGCTTGCTCACTACACATAACGCTGTTCTAAGATGATAAGATCATCACCAACATGGACAAAACATTTGTCCGGACAATCTGAAAATGGAAATTGAGTGGCATTTACGGGAGAAGACTGCTAATTCAACTAAATATGTTCCAGGTCTTCTGTTCTTCCAGCAGAGGACTACCAAAGGAACTGAATGCCAATTCGTTTATGGAAATCATCATATATTCAAACAGGACAAGAAAAGATGATTGAGAATCTTTAGATAATGTCATTTTTTGCTGTAAAATGAGAAAAATTGTGAGCATATAAACATGAAATTTCTAAGCTGCTCCTGCTGTTGCATTTCCTAGATTTTATAGGCTCTAAATCACATGAGTGGACGTCTAGGTTCTGTGATATAGTTGCTATTAGTTTGATGCATTTTATAAACCTAGCTTGGAAGCAACAAGAAGTCAACAATTACGGGTTTTGCAGATTAACACAGAGATGGACAGCGAGTGCAATGTAATAACAAGCTCTCTATTAAATTGTTTTAACACGCTAATAGTCCATAAGAGTGCAGGAAAAGATATCTGTTACTGATCTCAGTTTTACATTTCAAGTCAGATAAATTGTCAATGAATATACAGGACAAAATCTACAGATATATAAAAAAGCCACGAAATCCTTTACCTTCATTTTTGTTAAGTTTGTGTAATCTAGTTTCCTTGGCAACCATGATTCATGCATGTCTTAAAAGTTTTTGGTGGTTGTCCTTGTTGAAAACTAAAATCTCTTTTGCAATTAGGTATTGTCAATTAAAATTCCATTTACTTTCCCTTTCTATTAAGGCAGCAAAGATCTGTAACAATTTGGCAATGGCTGTCAGTATGCTTGGTGTATCAGAGGCCCTTGCTTTAGGTCAGAAATTGGGTATTGCTGCCAGTACTCTGACCAAGATATTCAATTCTTCAAGTGCTCGCTGTTGGAGTAGGTATTGCATTTACATTTGGATTCCTTCTAAGACATACTTCAAACTTATAGCACTTGCTTTCAGTTTGAGCTACGGCTGGCTTTTCTGACAAAACATGCTAAACTGGCATGATCATGATAAGTTAATTGATATGATGAAAAGTGCTTCGTTTTGTGCTTCCTTCTTCAAAGATGGTCTATAACCAACCGGGGTTCAGGCAGAATTTGTTGTGGTATTATGTTGCTCTCAGATGGCTATACAGGAAAAGGATCCCTAATTCCTAAAGCTAACTGCTTTGTGATGGCATGAAAATAAAAAAGACATTAACTTCACGCTAGGCATATGAAGTTGATTCTGTAGTCCATGATAGTTTTCACCAAAATCATACTGTTTTCTAATTACACATCTATATAAATATTACAGTGATACTTACAATCCAGTGCCTGGAGTGATGGATGGGGTGCCTGCTTCAAGGAACTATGATGGTGGGTTTGCATCAAAGTTGATGGTATGCAGATTTCTCCCCTGATAGTGTGATAATTCAATTCTATATTCTTTGTCAATTCAATGAAATTTTTTTCTGTCTTGTCTAAGGTATAAAATTATTATTATTATTTTTTAGTTTTGAAATAGAGTTGCACTTGAGGCCAAATCATGGTTTAGTCTGGAGTTCAATCTTTCATTAACTGACATATAGCAGTATCATTCTCTTTCAATTAAGCATAGTGCTAGAGAAATTAGAGGAGTTGATAAAGAGGCAGACTTTATACTTTCTGGGAATACATTAGATGTAAACATACAATCTTTTGCTTAAGACGGTATAGCCCCATGGTAAACACAAAATGCAGAGACTGTATTATGCATGAAGGTTAACTAGGGCTGCTGGTATGGTTCTCTAAACTGGTCAATTCTTTTGCTCTTACGACAGCAGGAAATGCTGAATATGGATGTTTAGAAAGAATGAACATGAAGATCTCTGTGTTTTTTGTTCATTTGTTTGTGAGCGTTTACAGGTGGAGACGCAAAGATTGTGCTTATTGTATGTGCATGTGGAATGAAGGAAAGGGGCAGCACTAAACAGTTGTGTTGCCATATTTCCAACAAGTCTTAATTGAAGCTCAATTTGATAACTTTAGTAATACATTGTAGAAGTTGATTTTACAACCTTACAAGTTAATCTAGGGCCTGCTAAGAAAAACTTATCTTGTAAAAGACTGAATCCTGAGCATACTGAACAATGTCTTATTATTATTATTATTTTTGTGTGTGTTTGGTGGGGGGGTGGGTTGGTGGTTGGCGGTGCAGGCTATGGCCATCAGTGATGCATTGAAGAACTGAGGTATGCATATTCATGTAATATATTAAGTTTGTAACCAATACAAAACCAGGTAAAACTGGGAGAGTGTGAGCTAGCATAAATGGGTTTGAGTTTGACAAGAAAGCTAATCCACTTTTCTGTTCTTTCTTTCATTTGCTATGTCCGAATTTTTGGGGAGCCTGTAGTATTTGTCTCCTCTTTTATCTCCAACCCTATGAAATTTGTTTAGTACAAAGAAATCATTCCTTGTCCTGTTCAGGAGAGATAGCCCTTCTTCCACTAACACTCACATTGTATCTTGCCCCTTGATTTGTTTGGAATAAACAAGATAGATGGTAAATGTAGAATTGCTTGTCAGTTAAAGGAAACTGTAACTAGGGAAGAGCCAATTCACACCAAGGTCCTGGACACTATCTTCTTCCGTCTCTTGGGGTTTCCAAAATTGCATGCTTAAATTGTTGTTTGTCTCCATGTGCATTACTTGTGCATAAAAAATTTGCTTTTGTAACAATCTTTGCTAATATCTTCTTTCCCGATTAAAATTTACTTAATTTTTTTTTTTTTTAATTTCAGGCTAAAGATCTAAATCTTGCTGCAGAATCAGCCAAAGAAGTAGGTTTGGAATTTCCACTGACATCTCAAGCAGAAAAGATGTGAGCATTCCCTTATCATAACAATGCTATGGAATTCTTAGTTCAATTACCTCTTATAATCATTTGATTTAAGTTGAGACAGTAAGTTCCTTAACCATAACTCAATTTTAGATGGATAATATGTCAAATTGTCAATAGATACTAAAAAACTAGGGACCATAACATACCTTTGTTCGGATGGTATAGCTATTGAGATGAGCAATCTGGTTTCTATAATACTGCTTTAGTAAAACATTTAGAGCCTATGTAATTGATTAGAACAATAGGGGTAAGGAGAAAAGCAACTTGCATTTGCTGAAGTTGCTGATCATTTGATTTTTCTGGTCAGAACATTAACAGATGTGCCAATTTGTTTAATGTGCCACAGCCCACTGATGCTAACTGCATTGACTTCAATAAAAACAATGGTAATGATAGTATGTCGCCCAGGCCATTGTGTATCAACCAAACAAATTCCAACTATTTGACAGGGTATATCATGGTGTTAGAACTTGTAAACAATGCCCTAGTCTTAGCTGTAGACCAAATCTGGCTCTAGCATCACTTTTTTACTGTGTTAAGAAAGTGGTGGATGAAAGGTTATGTGACTGTCGATAATGGCCTCTTCACTCAGCTCTTATGAATTGCAATCCAAATGTCAAAAAGTGACGCTAATTCAATAAGCTTAGGCTGTGAACAGATATCTAATATGTGTACATGCATCCATTTTGCTTCTCTACGTGCTAAAATACGAAATGCTGCTGGAAATTGTTATGGGGCCTCTCATCATGCACACAATAGTTTGGTGGATCGTTTCAATGATATCAAGATTGTGCCAACTGTAAAACTCTCTCAGAGTCCATGCTGATTGATACTTACTGAAGCCGCTTTTAGAACATTATTTCCTTTTGTTTCTTATTGCTTCAAAGAGGAAAAAAATTCTGGGGAATCTTTTACTTAGGATGACATGTTAAGATCCTGCTTCTGGAATGGAAGTTTGAATTTCAATGACGGTACTAACATGACATTTTTTCCTCCCCAGATTCACTCAGCTTTGCAATGATGGGCATGGAATGAAGGACTTCTCATGCGTCTTCCGCCACTATTACCCTGGAAACGATGAGCTATAGTTTCGTTATCTGAAAGAAAATTTCATATCCTACAACATCTTTTATCCAGATTCAGATCCCAGTATTTTTCACAAACTCAATCTAATACTTACCTGCAGTGTATGGCCATGATTAAACATGATCAAGGACATCTTAAGTGTGGCAACACTTGTTTACATCTCCTTTCCTGTATGAGCAGCTAGTGTAGTTTACTTGCAATCGTGCTTGAATGAGTTTTCACATATAGTACAGCTTTCTTCTGCACTATGAATCTCTTTAAATATAAGCATTCTTTTGTTGGTGGAGCTCTTCTTTTGTTTTTTAAAGCTGTTTTTCAAAGCAAAACCTAGATCTTAACCCTTCAAAGTATGTACAAGGTCCTTTTAGTCGCTCTATTAACTAGCTGAACTTGCAGCCTTGCTATGTTCTTGAATTGCTGTGACGATTGTCAATATGGTCAGTATACGTCCTCTAGTATTAACTTTTGATAATTTTTACCTCTTCTGGAGATTTTAAGCCTGTTATTTGCATGTTTGAGCCACTATTATTGTTATAACCTGTTTTTTCCCCCTCTTTAATGTTTCCCCCCTCTTTAACTTTGTTGTGTTTGTGAGAGATACATGCTTCTCTTATTTGAGAGAATTCGAGCGACTATAGGGGTATGGAAGCACCACTTGAAACCTCCATTTCATGAACTCTCCAAGATGTGTTTGTACTAAAATCTTTCAGTAGGTTTTGTAGATAATGAATACTTTGAAGAAGTATTTTTAGTCAATTGGTCAAAATTGAAATGAAAAATTATGCAATTCTTATTGACTAAAATAATTTTTTTGATAATATTACAAGGAACTAGAAATAGTGGGAGCAATATAGAAATGGATTACAATTTAACAAATATTTCCTATCAGCTCAGCTAACAAGGATGTTAGAAATGTGACCATGAGATTTCTATTTTCCTCTCAAACCCTTCATTTTCCTTTCCCTGGTAATTTTAGAATCTCCCTTGGATTGAAAACCAAAACACACCCTTGTATATTCAAGTATTGGAGGAACTCCAGAAAGAGACATAGTTGAGAGATTTTTCATTCTCAAGTCAGTCTAAATCTATACATGTATCAAGTTCCATTCCTTTCCTCCATTGTTGAATACGAAGAATAGAAGAGGTTTTCTTTTGATTAAATAGGTTATAGTAATCCTTTATTGATTCTATTTTCAAATCATTTTCATATATTTATTTCTTTGACACAGTATTCTCGGGTACTTTATTCTTTTACTCTCCTTCCTAGTTTGACTCTCATTTTTCTAAAATCTAGTATTAATTTGATCATGATCTTACTCAATTGCTTTTAATTTTGCCCCCAGAGTGTTAATTGGAAGGGTAACTCACTTATAATCCTCATGTAATTTTACATAATGTTAGATGACCTCCTAAAGTTTCAAAATAGCCACATAACTCTCCTATGATTTTATGTAAAATAAAAATAAATGGAATAAACAACGCACTCTAAAAGCACGTGTGATAAAATCTTAATCTCCATGTAATTCACTTATGATATGTATAAATATTCACTTTATCTCTCTGTAATTTTTGCATTTATTCACGTAATCTCCCTATACTTTTATACAAGAAAATTAAATTGTCAATTGATTTAGCCTTTAAATAAGGATACTATTGGTATTTCAATTAACAACATTATATGGGCTATTTTCTGTAAGTTTTCACTTTACATAAAACTATAGACAGGTAAAGTGGATATTTTAATTTGAAACATTAGGACGATTAAGTGATAATAGATGAAACCACCGGGGGGTTATATGTAATTTATCCTAATCAGAATTGCATGTGTCATCTAAAAAATAATTGGACAAGGACTAATAATGGAAAAAAAATTTCAAAAGTTGTTTAACTTTGTATACGTAACAAATATTTTGGGACTTTAGAAAATGAAAAACATGGGACTTTCAATCACGAGGAAAGTTATGAGATTTCTTTACAACTTCTAATTAGTTAGTTCTCATGGCTGGTTTGAAACAGTACTTCATGCAAAGTGTCTTTTACATGTCTTGGCTCAAAGCGGTGACTTAAAAATCGTATATATGTGTGATCAATAAAAAAGACATCGTATAATCTTTCATGCAAATCCTAGTAATTTGTTATATTTACTTTCACCTATAACTAGAGGTGGCAAATCAACCCACTTAACTAGATTTACCCATACCCGCTCATGAATAGATGGGTATGGGTATCTTAAATTTTTGTATATGGGTATAAATGGGTTATCCAATAATACCCATTTATTAAATGGGTATTATTAGGTAACCCATCAAATCCAATTAACCCATTTAAAATTCTCTTCCCCCCAAGTCTCTTCTTTTCCCCTACCTTTTTTTGTCAAGTTTTTCATTTTGTCATGATGTTAACATTATTATTATTATTATTATTTGTTGGTTTTATCTTATTATTTTATTTTTTCTTAGTTTGTTAATTTGCTCATTTTTTAGCATTACCAATTTATGATAAATTTTAGTCTATTTTCTTATCTTTATAAAATGAAATTTTAAATTTATATATGAAAAAAATGTTAGGGGTTCAAAATTTTTGGATTAAGTTTTTATATTAATTTTTATAGTACTTAATTCAAATTTTTATATTCGTATTATTCAATTATTAAATAATAGGTAATTTTGTGATATAGAGTATAAATGAAAAAAATTGGTAATTAAGTTTATTGAACATTATAAGTAAATATTTAAAACTAATGATGGGTACAAAGAGTGGTATAAATTGATAACTTAGTTTGCAAAAATGAATTTAAATAAGTTTGCAAAAAGTTAAAATAAATGAGTTATAAATGGGTAATTGGGTTACCCAATTCATTTTTTGACTTACCCATTTATACCCATATAATTAAATGGGTATAAATGAGTTGACTCACTTATACCCATTACCCATTTTACCCAACCCAAACCCACCCAAGTCACCCATTTTGACACCTCTACCTATAACATATAGTTATAATGATGAGAAATGATATTGACACTCTTCATTTATTGTAATCACACTCTTCTTAATCATTGAACTTTAGCTCAGTGGCTATCAAAAAGGGATCCCTTTTTGAGCGTAGATCAGGGATTCAAACCTCACTTGCTTTAGAAAAAATTCAAAGATGGTGCTAGGGCACTCCTTTGATCCTTTGATTCAGTCAGTCTGTATACTTGCAGGTAAAAAAATAAAAAGTAATCACACTCTTGCTACCTATTTTTTCTATCATGTCCAGGCCGAACTTTCTTTGTCATGCCTGACTGTATCAAAACAAAAGAAGAAATTTATGACTGACCTTACCAAAGCCAAACTTCAAAGACTCACATCCCTTGTTTCTTTTCAGCTTCCTATCTTCAAAATAGAACTCAGACCTTTCCAAAATAAATCTGGAGGCAACTCTCCAGTTGAATATATCGATGAATTAAGCAAATCTCAAAATAGAACTTAGGGCTTTCCAAATCAACTCTGGAAGACAGCTCTCAAGTTGAAGATATTGATGAATTAAGCAAGGTTTGTGATCTGATTAAGTCCATGTAGAATTTTTAATTTTTTTAATCAATATTTGAATTCCTCACAGCCTACCAAAAAGTGCACATACTTCGTAGTTTCAAATTGTTTTCATATTTAATTTTTATTTTAAGTTCTTCAAAGATCTACATTTTTTCTTCTCCTGTCACCTAGCTAGAGATCATGAAAAGGTTAAAAGGCGGAGGATAAGTTGTGGAGAAGGGAGATGGAAGATAGATTTTATTTCTCACATCCACATTAGGAGGCAAACTAAAAGTTTCAGTTTATAATGATTGCCTTTGTCAAAGGAGAAGCTTTCTAATTACCTAATCTCTGCAACATAACTCCTGAGATTAGTACAGGACTACAATAGGGTTGCCAAGCTAATTGACACTCGCTTATTAATTTTCTCGAAACTTGTCAATATTTAGCAAGATTAAGTGGCTATAGTTTCAGTAGAAGCACTTCCAAACATACAAAAAAGGCAAGAAAATTTCAAAGCTTTCTGGTGTATTCCAACTTCAATATACCAAGAAATCTATGGAGCACCCAATGGAGAAATTTCTCCTGGCGATGTATTTGTGATAGTTTCTTGTCTTTTTCTTTTTTCGTTTGTTGGGTAAATTTGTGATAGTCATTGTAAGCTATCAATTTTTTCATCTTCTCGTTTTGTTTTTCCGATCATTGTTCCCTAACCTTAACCTCTTATCTTCTTGAAGGAACCCCAACAATGGAGATGACATGAGGTTGTTTACTTGCATGTGGAGGCTTAGAAGATCAAAGTGATAACATGAACAAGATACACAAAGGCAAGTATGCCAACTTATTCTTTCTCTTCCAATAATTAGTGAATCTATGACTTATTCAAATAGACAAAGGCCCTCAAATGCAAAAAGAGAAAAGATACAAGCCCACGCTTCGAGATCCATCAATTTTTGAGTTTGTCGAAAATGATCACAAGTATAATACACGTAAGAAAGTTAGACATAATTGTCGTACATGTCTAAAATGTAAAAAAATTATAGCTTTTGCTTCTTTGTTGTTAGTCCGTATTACTTGTTTTCATTTCTCAAATCAAATTCTTATTTCAAGCTACAATTTTGCAGGTGCTTCATGAGCATATATAAGGTTACTAGTGCATTGTCTTGATACGAGAATTTGTTTTTGCTTTTGTTTTTTTTTTTAAATGTAAACGAGATGTCTCGAATTCGAAATTTTTTATTTATAGTACCCTCTCTTCTTCTATCATCTAACTCATCCCTCTCCCTATACGAGAATTTGTTTTCTTTTGATAGAAGCATACAATAGAGTTTCATTTTCATTATGGTGGCTAGATAAGCTGTTCTCAGTAGTATTTGATGCGTACCCTTTATCAGGCGTTGTATTGAGTTTTTAATACTATTTAAGCTAGGCATTAAATTTAAGTGTTGGACGTTATATATGTTGCTGAAAATTGGTTTCTGGCATCTTGTAGCTTTGTAAATTTTTTTCTACATTGCTGAACAGAATTTTTAATTACATTGCTAAACATGCAAGAGAAACAGAGGATGTTTTGGTTTTGGTAAGGCCATGCATAAATTGATTCTTTTATTTTGGGAGAGTCATGCACAAGAATTTAAGTTAGGCACAGACATTGCAGTCTCGTGGCTAGAAAAAATGGGTAGTGGAGTGTGGTTAACAAAAGGGGGAGTGCTAATCATATTTTTCATAATATATATCACAAAATGTTATTCATTTTCTTTAGTTGTCTAGTTTAA